TTTTCCGGGGGAGATATTTTCCGGGGGAGATTTTTTCCGGGGGAGATTTTTTGATGGGGAGATTTTTTCCGGAGAGATTTTTTCCGGGAACTGATTTCCGGGAGATTTTTTCCGGGGAACAAAACGTCGGTTACGGTCGTTTTAGCAAGGAACAATTTATTTCACGGCGTTGTCACCATGCATCGCTGTCATCGCGAAGTGTAGATGGTAACCCATAGTAACGTGACAACAATCTTTTAATTGCGCTTAATTTAAGTGCATTTTTGAAAATGACATTTTATGACATTTTTTGATGACATTTCTTTGAGCTAAGTTGAAAGACTTTTTTCAGTTCTTGAGGACATGGACAGCGACATGGATTGAAAATAACATCTTTTTTTCTGTAAATCTTTTTTTATATGACATTTTCTTTCTTTAAATAACTGTCACAGTAAAAAGGTTGGTATCGACCTTAATTGTGTGTACAACTGCATTAATATTTCTTGGAATGAGAATGTAAATATTGTGAATATACTTGTAAATTAACTGTGGATTTTCGAAACGGGTTATTATTTACTTCATTATTTACTTCCTAAAGACTCATAGCCTTCAACTTTTTAATTAATCTTATAAAACCGAGGCATACATAAGGTAAGAATCAGAATTAATACAAGTCGACCGCGCTCATACCACGTCATCTTTAAATAATGTAAATTAAGAATAAATTATCAATTTATTAATTTGCGCATTCGTATAATAAAAGATTTCAAACGTTTTTTCTTAATACAAAGTTATTTATTATTCCTTTCCTCATTTGGAACTTCAATTATTGCCTATCTGACACTCACAATTTTGAGTTTACTAATTACTATTTCCGTCCTTGTCCCACCACATCATACACTGACCGATGGCAGCGACTCTTGCGGTCACAAAGCGAGTTATTTTCTCCGTCGCATCCCCCACCACTAGAGTTTCCAGACCTGTGTGTAAGACCGTGTCCTGGACATATTCAGGACGATCCTGAGGACGTCTTGTGCTATCTGGGGTTGAACTACGCAAACTCGAGGTAAAATTTGACAAATCTATTTACGTCGACATGTACATCCTCGACGTGTCGAAAGTCTGTTTGTACGAATTTCATCACGAGTATATGTCTCGCCTGTATCGCAACATGTGTAGAATTATGTACACCAATACGGGCAATCACAGTCTCATATATCTGATATATGTAGAGTGTGACGACGTGTATGAGAACGTGAAACGCGATATCGCTAGATTCGACACGAGCGATTACGCGACCGACAACGCGTACGGTATACTGCTCGCGAACAAGAAGGTGCCGGGCTTGATGAAGGACGAGATTAATGGCGCGATCATGACCGAATTGGTCGGACTCAGGGCGAAGATGTATGCGTTGAGGGTGGCTGGTGAAAAAGACTGTAAAAAAGCGAAAGGTGTCAAGAGCAACGTCGTAGCGCGTACTATAACGTTCGACGATTACACGAGGTGTCTGAACGATGAGATCGAAATGACTCGACGTCAATCCTGTATAAGATCAGAGTTGCGCGAGGTGTACACTATCCGCGAGACGAAAATCGCTCTGAGTCCGTACGGCGACAAGCGTTACATTATACCCGATTCGACCGATACGTTATCGTGGGGACATTACCGAATACTTTTATAACGTATGTATTGTATCATCCCTCTCTAAAAAAAAGCGTGCAAAGTCGATTCTCGGCATATATCTAAAAAAGACATGTAAAGTTGATACTCGAATCTATCGAAGTTTATTGTTGTCGCTTTTCCGCGATGCCAATTGGTTCTCTCGCTGCGTTTACTTCATTTGTATCTGTCATATATTTTGACAATTGTGTGTATCAAGGAGTTAATAGTGTAATAGTAATAGCATAATGTTAAAGCTAAATAACGCGCGCGAAGCGCGCGTCTGTGGTGTCTAGTGTATGAAATGTAATAGTATAACGTATGTGTTGTATGTATGTAGTATAACGTATGAATGTATGTATGTACGTGTATGTATGTATATATGTAGTATACCGTAACATATTGTGTGTATAGCCGTTATCGAGTAAAATGTTGACAATCAACTCTAAATTTATATAATAAAAGCAAGGATAATAACAAAATTGTTTTATCTACAAAATTATATAAAGTTTCCAGTATTACATAATGTGTGTGATTAAATGTAAGTTCTAGTATGGTTCCAAATGTTTTATTGCACGTTGCTATAAAATGAGACGTCTTACTACCGGCTGACAAACAAAGGACAATCCAACCCCGTGCTAACGTTGGTCAATACAGCAAGCGCCTGTATTGACGCTGCCATGAAATTTTGAATCGCTTGAATAACAGAGATTTCAAGCTTCAAAGTTCTCTTTTTTTTTAGATTTAAATTTCCATTTTATTAAGGACGTTCTGGCTATACAATCCTTGCCAAAAGTTAGCTTCCAATAAAAAATTACTAAAATGAAGACTTTGAAACAACTCAAAATTTTTTACATGTTAAAAAGGATTACCGTTAACAGTTTGAGTATGGTTTTTTGTCATTTAAATAATTAGTATTGTTAAACAATTAAAAAATAAAAAAATTTTAGCAAAAAGTTTTGAAACTTAAAATACAATATCAATGATGTATGTTTTACATACAAAAAAAGTTTTAGAAATATCTCACTGTTTTTATTTATAGTTACCGCAAAAATGTTGAATCTCCCAGTAAAAAAATCTTTATATAAAAACATATCTAAACATATATAATCATATAATATTATATAAAATATGTCCATTGTTTGGAGTTCACTTGTATATATTAGTTGCTAATAAGTTAATCGTTTGTTGTTTGCGTTAAATACTAGTCAATAAAAGTAATTTGAAGCGTTACCGTCGGTAATTTTAATTTCGTATTTGGTGACTCGCGCGGAACGTTGGCGGATCGCGCTCGATTAAAGTTGTCAATATTCGCGCGACTCACCCGACTCGTGCTGCCCGCGAGTGGCAGCCCTAATTATGAAGAAATTAGTACTCGCTCGCACCGTGCTTCACAGGTGCGCGAGCCAGAGATTCGAGTGCCGGAAGAGACACTCACACTTTGGACATTGTCGAGTCAACATCTCCTCGTGCGGACGTGATCAGTAACATCTCGGAAGTGATCCCTGTACCACGCATCAAAAGTTAACACGATCGAGTTAAAGTCGTGCCCGCGTATTATTTCGGATCTCACAATCAGTCGGAGACCGCCGCAGAGCCCTGCATTATACTGCCTGCTTGTCTTAACAATCTCTGCCTGCCTGCTTGAGCACGTGATTCGCACGCTAACGCCTTTGCCTTGCCTGCACGGCCCTCCCGCTATCACGGAGGGTTCACTCATAGCCAGAAGGAAGGACGAAATCAACAGCCATCAGGAGAGAGCCGGGCACCGATACGGTGAGTCGTATAATCGTTCGCTTTATCCGTTTGCATTCGTGAGGAAACGGTCCCTCTGGTCCTTCGAGTTTACACGCCTAGAACGTTCGCGAATCCGGCGCGATTCACACCCCTCCGAACACCATATATGTCCATACTATGTTTCTTTTTTCTCTTGTATAATCTCTGTTTGTATATACAAGAAAAATAATAAAAAAATTAGAAAATAATTAAAAAAATAATTTTTGCATTGTTTTTTTTTTTTTACAAAAAAAAAATAAAGTCAGTGCAAATGTAAAAAAATTGCTGATATATAATTATATATATATATAATCATGTTTTATATACATTATTACATTTATATATGATTATACATAATTATATGTAGGCAAATAAATAAACAATCCAAAAATTATCCTTTTAATTATTTTCTCATTCTTTTTCTTATTATTTTTCTTGTACGAGCAGAGATTATACGAGGGAAAAAAACATATGTAGACATATAAAGACATATTTTATATAATATTTTATATAATATTATATGATTATATATATTTTATAGATATGTTTTCATATAAAAAATTTTTTACCGGACTCCAGAAGGGGGATAATGTTAATTTCATCAACTTTAAACTTAAATAACTCTTAAATTGTTTAGTAAATCACTTACAAAATATTTTTAATTTAATTTAAAAGAAACATCTCAAAAAATTTCAGCCATTTTTAATATATTTGAAATACCTCCAGTACCTACATCCTTAAAATCGTTATAATAAATCAGCAATCGTTTAGTGGATTTGTTTCAATTTTTTTGCGGCACATCAGGAAGACTAAAAAAACAATCTCACAAATTTTTATCAACTTCTCACTGTTTTGAAGATATAGCCAGAACATCCTTAAACAAAGTTGCAGTTGTTTAAAATTTGTTTATTTTTTAGACAATTTTTCTTGATCCCGTAATCTACATAAACCTATATCTTATTCTATTTTGTTTTAATTATATTAAAACGTATAAATATAGCTACCTAAGTGCGGCGCTAAATACACCAGCCACAAAGAGACCAGGCAATCCTGGAAATTCTCCTAGAACGTTCATAACTAACAACGGTAATAACTGATCCTTAGCACGTGCCAGCTGTGTTACACAAAGATCAGTCAATATCAAATTTAATATTCAAATATGTTAAAAACTAAATATAAATGTTACCTTGGTCGTAAGTGGATCACATTCATAATACCAAGCATAAATCAGCATACCAGCATATCCACATATACTAATCAGCAATATAACTCCAATCATAAAACACCAAAGTGCTCTAAAATGCATAATTATTAAGAACATTGAGTTGAAAAATAATTATATAGTTCTGATGTAATAACTATAATAATTAGAGACTATTATAACTACAGTAAACCCTCGTTAACACAAACTCGAAGGGACCGGGATTTGAGTTCGTGTTAACCAGGTGTTCGGGTTAAAGAGGAAACACGAATTCGTTTGTGTTAACGAGGTCAACTAATAAAATTTAGTAGATAGTATTACATCTATAATACATTCTTTATTATTTATACAGCAACTTAAATAAAATATATAACTTTTACGAACTTGGAATCTCCACAACCAACCACTTAAACAATTAAAATTTTTGACACCTAAATTATCTGCTATAGATATCGCTTTTTCCTGAATTAGCGGTCCACTTATAGAAATATTTTAAACTTGCATATGATTAAACTAACTTAATAATTTAGTTTTGACATTTTCATGTTGTGCTCTGCAAATGCGTTTAGCTTTCGCAGTAACGGTTCCTGATGCAATTGTCTCATATTAGTTCTTTACTTTTTATTATCCTTGAGAGCGTTGATTATATTTAAATATTTAACAATCTCGGTTTTTAATCAACTTTTTAATCATTTATTTTAACTTCTTGTAATATTTCAACTTTTTTTTCAAATCAATATCAATACATGTCTGCTTTTGCTTGCTCATCGTGGAAAACTAACAAAGCGCTATTATTTTGATAAATGTGATGTGTAAAACAACATACATGATGATAATATCATAATATAATATTGTTTACATATTATTCAATACTTATGCGCGATTTGCGAGGATTAACCGAGAACTTTTCTCTGCACGGACCAAAAAGTTCGAAGTTCGTGTTAAGGGGGACGGTTGGGTTTGAAATTTCGAAAAATTTGATTTTTTGTTTTTTTACATATTCTGATAGTATGATTCTTTAAGAATATTTCCCAGTTTAGTTTTTTGAGAAATTCGCAAAATTGAGCTCAGGAAAGTTAAAAAAGTGAGCGTTGGCTGGCAAAGAGTCCGCGTTTCTCTAAACTTTAACCGTGTTTTTCTCGAAATGGCATTTTTCGCTAGTTTTGCCACGATAACTCACGAACGGCTGCAGACATCGACTTGATTTTTTTTTTTTTTTTTTTAAATAAAGATAACGTATTTCTTTATAAACTGAACCTATTTTAGCACACAAAAATTAATTTTGTATAACTGTTTTAACAACAAATAACTTAATTTTTTCGAAATTTTTTCTTTTTTGGCTGCCATTGTTGTAATCTTAACGTACTCTTTTAGACTTTAGGTTCAGTCTATAGAGGGAAATCTCACGAATAAAATGGCACCAAAAAATTGAAAAATTCCAGCTCGTACACCAGGAATCGTGGCAAGAACAGAGCAGTGCGCAAATCGCGCGATCGCCTTCAATCATCAATATCACCCTTAATTATTTATATTTTTGGAACTTTTACGTCTTGTTTAGTTCGTTAAGAAAGCACTAACAACTTGCTTTAAAAAAAATTTATGTATATTTATTTGTTTGTCCACAAACGATATTTGAATTTTACCCAATTTTCGGCCGTTCAAATCTTCTTACCAGTCCCTTAACCGAATTATGCGTTAACCGGGAGAAAAGTCCATAAAAACCTGTACAAGTCTGCCGGGACCCAAATTTTAGTTCGGGTTAACCGAGTGTTTGTGCTAACAGGGTTCGTGTTAACGAGAATTTACTATATTATAATTAGGGATGTGAGGGCGGCGGTGTGGTCTAGTGGTAGAGCGCCAGACTCGTAATCTGAGGAACCAGGTTCGCCCTGGTGAAAATAATTTTATTTTTCACGCAAAAATTATGCAAAAACTACAATTTCTTATAATATAATTACAACTTTTCAGGCTATTTTTACGTAATTTTTAAGTCAAAAGTACGTGATTTGGGCCATGTTTGTTTTTTTTTTCATAAATTTACGTAGAAATTTTTATGAATAACTACAACTTTTTGGATATACTACAAAATAAAATATAAAATTTACTTCTCTCGTTAAACATTATTTTATTGCTGAAAATCTTGATTACGTGCAAGTTTAATTAAATAAATTTATATTGTACTTAGAAAATTTGCTTACCACCGCTGGATTAGATCCTGAAACCCCTGGCTCTTGAGTCAGTCACCTTCCGCACTGTGCTACAACATTGATTGATGAAGACGTTTCGTATTGTCTACATATGTTACACTTATTGTTAACAGACGTACGGAAGGTGTCAGCTCTTAATAGGGTCATATCCCAGGTAGCGCACATGGTCTTTTTGACGTCAATTTGAGGTCATTTTTCGTCCAAGACGTCATATGTCATTTATATGACGTGTATTTGGCGTCTTATTGTGGACGAAAGTATGACGTCATGAAAAGGACATGAATTAGACGTTATTTTAAGACCAAACTTGGTACACAATTTTATTTTTATTTTTTGAGTTTTTCTTAATTAAAACAGACCCGTATAGCATGAAGCTTGCTAGAGAATGCAGGAACGTTACAAGTTGCAATGCAATGTTGTAGAGACAATTGCAACATTTCGTTGAAATATTAGAACAACATTGCAGAAATATTATAAGAATAATAGAAAATATAGTACTATAACTTACTCCGTGAACATATATGCACATACATAAAGTAAAGATTGATTTTTTTTTAGATTTGTTTCTTTAAATTAGATTTCTAATTATTTTTCAACTTTGATTCGATTCATTAAAAAAATTCTTTATTTTGTCAGGTAGCGTCTTTAGGTGTTCTCATATATTGTTAACATTATTATATTAATATTATATTATGTAGTATTGAAATGTATCGAGTTATGTTAGCGCAGATGTGTGTGTATCGCGTGTCGCGCGCGTGTCGCGATGCCGTGTTGCCATGCAAAGAATCTATTAGAAAGTCGATCGTCTAATGACAACAGAACGTTAATTTGTGGAGAGTCGTTTTTCGAAAGCAAGCGAGCAAAGGGCGTTCGTTGCCCAGGGAATAGTAACAGAGAAGCCTTCGAGCCGAGAAGTCGAATTGTAACGTTTCGCGTCGTGTGTAGTTTCGGAGTTTGAACGAGGCTCAGCCTCAGCGTAGATCGAACGAGAGTGTTAACGTTCCTTTTGTATCTCTCATATTCTGTTATTCTCATCCTATAATAAACATTATACTGTTCTTATATCCTTCGAAACATTGGATACCATCTTTATTCCTACAAACTTAGGGGCTCGTCCGGGATTGAGAAAGCCAGAACCAGGATTGAGAGAGAGACGAAACTCCATTGGTGTGATCTGTGAACGTGTGATGTGCTTGTGAAATCGTACGATGAAGAGGGTTGACGATTTCTCAGCGCAAGCGTTGAGAGATAAATGCAAGTCCTTAGGTTTGATTACAACCGGGACAAAAGCCGAGTTGTTTAACAGGCTTATGGAAAAAGACCCGAACGGCTCGTGGATTTCGGACAAAGAAAGACGAGATGATGATGCCCGTGAAACCGATGCAGCCGCTGCTGGAATGCCTTCCGGATCAGTGCAGTGCGATCAACGTGAGTTGGAACTCGCGAGGAAACAAGCAGAGTTAGCCGAACGAGAGCTCGCGTTGGCGCGCAAGGAGATAGAGTTGCTTCATATTCAACAGCGAAATCAGCCAGTGGACGGCAATTCATCGAGAGCGTTGTCGGTAACCGAGTCAAGGCGGCCTAGGACGGACGTTCAAGCTATCGCGGATTTGTTAAGTCCCTTCCATGGAAACAACGACTGCTACGAAACATGGGAACGGCAATTGCAATTATTGAAGACGACATACGAACTTGATGAAAGCGAAGCAAAAATTTTAGTGGGCAAGAGGCTGAAAAGCAAGGCGAGCAAGTGGTTCTATTCAAAGCCCGAATTTCTTCAGATGAATCTTGAAGATTTGTTAGCGCAGATGAGAACGATGTTCTTCCATCGACCGAGCAGAGTGGCTTTGCGGAAGAAATTTGAAGAACGTTCCTGGAAACGAGGTGAAAGTTTCAGCGAGTACTTCCACGAGAAAATGATACTTGCGAATCGAGTACCCATCGGGCCCAGAGGACATTGTGGACTATCTCATAGACGGAATTCCGGACCCGACGCTTCGTGATCAGGCGCGCATTCAAAAATTTAATTCGGCAGCCTCGTTACGAAAAGCGTTTGACAAAGTGATGTTACGAGGAAAGACGGATAGCGGCGCAATCCCGAAGAACGGCGACCAGAAGCGATTTGCCAAGCCCAGCGACGAAGGAGGTATAGCTACGACTACGACGCAGAAAGACGGCCATCAGAGAAGAAGATGCCATTCCTGTGGTGCAGCGACGCATCTCGCAGCAGAGTGCCCGACGAAAGAAAAAGACGTAAAGTGTTTCGAGTGCCGTGAGTATGGACATGTGGCCGCGCAGTGTCCGAAAAAGCATACTCCGAAAGTCGTGCCGAAAGAAGTGTGTAGCGTGTCGAGATCCGCGCGTAAAAAATATCAAAAGAAAGTTTTAGTAAACGGATTCGAGACCACCGCGTTAATAGACACCGGTAGTGATTTGACTTTGATGCGAGAAGACAAGTATATTAAATTAGACTCACCACCGTTCGAGCAAGTGAAATACGTTTTCGTGGAGTAGGAGCGCCGAATAACACAACGTTAGGTAGATTTTCCGCGAATTTGGTTGTCGATGATAATAGATTCTCAATAGACATTTATGTAATTTCCGACGATCTAATGCAGCATGAATTATCATCGGTGCGGATTTCTTGAACACCATAGATCTTAGAGCAAGAGAAGGAGAAGTAACGATTGCGAAAATAGAAAAAACGGTACAAGAGACTGACGTTGTTCCCGAAATCTTAAGTATCGATTACGACTGCGGAATGAACGAAGTTGACGTATCAAATATCGCGAATAAAGAGCATAGGCGCGAAGTTGAAAATTTAATTGAAGCATATAAGCCCGTAAAAACTCGCGACGTAGGCATTAAAATGACGATTGTAGTTGTT